TGTGACATAGTGTCAAGAACATAGTATGGCATTAGCTGGTCGTGGCGTTCAATGATGCCCAAAGTAACTGGATCACAGTTTCGATATTTGCCGTAAATTACTAATCCACTAAAAATTGACATTATTGCAAGCAAAATAAGACCAGGTAGATTGTAGTAAAGTGTCCTGTGTTACAAAAAACGGTTAACGATGTTTTTAGTACATTTAATGTTACTTTTTAGCAATTTTCGCTGATTTCATGCTTAGATATCGTTGGACTTGTGTTTGAGAAATGCAATATATTGCTCCCCAAGTGACCATAGTTCCAGCAACAACATTCCAAAAATTATCGTGATTGTAAATATCAAATTCGAAGCTTTCAAATGTAAAAACGCATTACAAAATACATTTATTTTGAACATTCAAATACTTACTTAAACAGTTTTAAACGCTTTCCTTCAATGGCAATGTTAATAACTTGGTTAAAGCCACCCAATTCAATAATACCCTGCACAAAACTTGTATTTTTTGCAAAAAAAGAATTAAGTTTTACCTGAACAACAACAATTGCCACGCCAATAAACATAAGAATGCATTGCAAAACATCAGTCCATATTACTGCTTTAATTCCTCCCTAGGTATTGAAAAATTAGTTTTTTTGAAATAAAACAAATTAAACTCACAATTGTCGTGTAAAACGTGACAATAAGTCCAACAATCCATATTGAGTTGTTAATGGAAATTTGGTTTACTGAACTGAATGCAATGGCAGGTCCATAGAGAACTGCTGACATGTAGGGCATCTAAAATACTGATTATATTTTTATGATTTATACATTAAGAAGCCATCATACAGTTACAATTAAAAACGCTAGTGAACCAAACACTCTGACGATTTTTGAGTTGTAACGAAGCTCCAAATACTAATAAAATAAATTTAAACTAGTTAAAATTTTTCAAATGTGTTTTTATCTAATTCAAACCTCATTTACTGACGTTATGCCCAGTTTGTAGTACACTGGCAAAAACACTTCAGCTGCCAGTACAATAGCCACTACAATGGACACAATTTGCATCACATACTGAGTTCCAATTTCAAACACTTCTGCAGGCATGCCGAGCAATGTGTTTGTAGACATAAAACTAGCCACAAGTGACATGACCACAGGAAAAACTGCCAAATTACGACCTCCAGTAAAGAATTCTTCAGTGCCTTTGACATGACGGGCTTTCCATGCAAAATATATGCCAATAATTGTTGATGAACACAAAAATGCAACAAAAACTATGTAGTCGTATACATTAAATGATTTTGAGTTAGAAGAATTCATTGTTGTATGCTAATTTTAACAATATTTGTTACACAAATGAATAGTTTGTTTTAAAAAATGATGAAATTTTTAAAAAATGAACTAAAAACATCTAAAGAAATAATTCAAACGCCATATCTAAAAATGATAAAAATGACAAATGATCCAATATTTGATAAAAATATAAGTTACGCTTGATTGATTACTTTGAATGAAAAATAAATAAAACAAATTATTGGAAATACTAATTGTGTAAAAAATTATTTTTAATTATGTTATTAGTACAAGTTAGTTAAAATTTATAAAAGTTTTTGAAAACAAGCAAATATTGTTTTTAATAGAAACAAAAAATATTTTTACAAGTTTAAGTAATGTTAATTTATGTAAAAATAAAATAAAAAACAATACTTACAATATCCAAATCACAAAAGCTCTAAAATCTAGCAAAAAATAACATAAAAATAAAAATCACAGTATAATAGTTTTATATTTAAAATTTGACTAATATGTAACAGTCTAGTCTCTTTCTGAAGGATCAAAATAGTAATCAGCATGAGTTGTGTTGATAAAACTTGAATTTGGACAATCAGTAAAAGTTTCATTGGCTCGTTTTCCACTAAAACTAGTTGAAGATTTAACTGAAAAGTTTAAAGAGTTTTCAACAATATTTTTTTCAGAAATTTTGTTATTTAGATAATTGCAATGGCCAGCAGGTGTTTTCAAATTATTTTTAGCATTTTTTGAAGTTATTTCTTTTTTCAAAACTGGAGCTGGTATTTTAAATTTTCCACATTCTGAATAAGTCGAAGCAGTTTTAATTTTTGTGTTAGTTTTGTGTTTTAAACTAACAGGGTTGGTTAAACTATAAAAAGCCTTTTTACTAGTTTTAAAACTTCTTATTTTTTGAACAATTGCAATTTGAGCAAGTTTTTTAGGATTTCGTTCAGCGGTTGATTTTTTTGCCAGCAAACGAGCAATCGCGTTATTACGTTTATGAGTAACATCACTATCAATTTTCGCATCTTTGTTTTGTTGAATTGTTTCCAGTTGCTTAATAACTTTTGAAGTTGCTGTCTTAATATTTTCAAGCTCACCAATTTCAACCAAACATGCCACGTACCAGCCAATGTGATTAGTGTGTAGAATATGAAGGATCAAGTCAACTTCAGGTGAATCAAATAGTCGTCCACAATTGCTGCACATAGTGTGGCTCACTACAGTTAGATGTGGCTCCCGACCGGTGTCATCATCATCCGCCGGAAAAAATGGATTTATTATGACAGCACCAAAAAGTGGTGATCTTCTCAGTATCCAGTGGCAGTGAACAAATCGTGGGAAATGATCGAAAACAAACTCATAATATGCTTGCCAGTCAAAGTCTTCAGGAAAATCGTTTTCATCCGTTGCCGGCGTAACTGAGTCTTCCGGATCTTCTTCATCGTCATACAGACTGAACTTTTTATCAAAAGATGCTTCGACATAAGACTCAATAATCCATTTGTTTTCTTTAACTAGCATTGCACCAATTGCTCGTTTTAATAATACGTCAGTAACCGTCTGAAAAAGAAAATTGTTAAAATTAATTTTATATTTAAGTACAAACATACGGTTAAGTTGACTTTGCTAATGCAGCCGTTTTCCCAGTAGATTAAAAGCGACTCCATATCAGGCATGTATGCAACAATACGGGACACGCATTGAACACTTTCAAGATAAGCTCGTTGCTCTTGCAAGTCTTTTTCACTAATTTTTGTTATGTACTCCATAGCAAACTGGAAGTAAAGTCTTGCAGAATTAGAAAAACCAATGTCAAATTGTTTGAGGTTTGGAAGTGAAAGAAGAAGATTTGAGTAATCAATCCAGTTTTTCTTGGCCCCTTTAGGAATATCCCAGTCAATGTTGTACTGTATTCTTGATGAAGTCGTTGCCTTGTTGACAATTCGCTTAATTGGGTATTCGCCTTTGTTAGTCATTTTTCGAGCTGGTTTCTTTTTGTGCTTCCTCCGCCGTGTAACAAACGGATTTTTCCGCTTAGGTTTAGGTTTTGGTTTGCCATTTTCTGGTTTGGCCATTGTTGTCAGCAAACTTGATGCTTTGCAAACTTGAGGCACATTCAAAGGTCGTGGGACAGCAAAAAGCTAGCACATAAAACTAGAAATCAATTTTGAATTAACAAGTTGATCGTCACACAAAACAGGAAAACAAATGCAAGTGAGCAGCTTTACGCCGTTGTGAGCAGTTAACGGCAACAGTATTGAGCAACGGCGTGAATGGCATCACATGCGCGCTGCTTTTTGTGTTGTGAGCGCAAATGTTTGCCTGCTCTCTAACTAGATGGCACGTCATTTCGGCAAGTCGTGAATCGGTTGGCACTTTTCCGAAACTGTGGTAGTGGTCACTAGAGAAGTGCTACTGCAAAGCTGAGGATTAAAGGCTCCCCGTGCTCTGAATTCACTGCTTTTTCAACTGCAGTGGTGTGATACTTTTATCAAAAATGCCAATATAAGTAAGATTTGTTTTTGGAAGGCGGGCAATAGGCTTTTTAACTATTACTTTAATTTGTTAAAACTCAGTGTTTCCCTTTCGTCTATTTTAGCTTTTAGACTACAACTTGACACAAAAATGTACTGCACTGCTCACCAGGTACAAATTGTTTTCCCCTGGGTGATTATGACCTGTGGTCAGTGCAGTTAGCAGTTTTTGGCAGTGCTCAGAGATGGTTTCTTTCCAGTAGCAGCAGCAGCAGCAGCAGATGTGCAGATAGAATTGCACTGAAGATTATGGCCAGCATTGAAGACGGCAAGAGAGAGCGAGAAAGAGCAGCGGACTAGCATAGCGAGCAGTGGGCACCAAGACAAAGGGCAAGAGAGCAGAGAGTGAGCAGCGGCGGCAGCGCTGTGAGCGGTGCACCAGCCAAGGGGGTCACTGGTAAGGGGCAGTGGTCTTCAGTATGTGCTTGTGTGTGTGTGTGTGTGTTCACTTTGCAGCTTTCTTTGCCTGCTTGCAATTTTGATCGCAGTGATCGCAGTGATCGCAGCAAATCGGCTGCAGATCCAGTTTCTGCCGTCCCTGTTGTTTCTCAGTCTCTCAGTCTCAAACTCAGGCTCTCCTTCTTTCTTTTCCTTTCTTTCTCTTTCTCTCTTTCCCCTCAGTCTGCGGGAGTACCATTTTGACAGAGGCACACTTTTGCACCGCCAGCAATCACCGCCGCCGCCACCGTCGCCGCAGCCGCCGCTGCCTCCGCCATCGTTGCCATTGCCATTGACCAGCCGACTGAGGCTTTAAAGTATTCGCCCGCTTTAGTGAGCCATCACTGCAATCATTAGCAATCAGATCAGTCCTCAATCCTATTAATAAGCACGGCACTGTCCGCTATTTCCCATCGCTGCTAAACACTTGTCCACTCTTTTCTTCTTCTTCTTTTTCTTTGATCTCCTTTCTCTCTAACACATACTACACGCACACACTAACTTTGTGAGAATGATTTGGCAGCAGTGGTAGTATTTGCCGGACGTTGACCGCTCACAGCACCGCTTGCTATGCGTCAACACTACATTCCAGTGGTGTTCGCAGCTTAAACTTCTTCTAATTGACATAGGTTTTTCCTTCTAAACGCACTACTCAACCAATTGGTGAAAACTGGTGCATTTTTAGCAGTTTTGCCTGAAAATCTTACTGTCTGCTTGCCTTGCTCTCCCCTGAACCACAAAAATGCCATCCATCTTTAGCTGCTTTAAAGATGGCTTTAATTGTCGCAAGAAGAAAAAAGACAAAGTCAGCTCATCCACCAAGGAAACAACAGCAAACGCCACCGGTAAAGATGCCAATGGAGGAAAAATTGACGAGCACAATGGATCAATAAAAACAACTGACATAACATTTACTGCTAAATCAGGCAATGACTTAAATGCCGCTAATAAAACCAGTCCACACGCAAGCCCAAAACTAAACGGACATGCTAAAAATAGAGATGACACTGCCAATCAGGCAGTTACTGACCCTTCAGATGCAACCAAATCATCTGATACACCCGAAGAGCCTGATGTTAAAACCTCCATTCCTGGTGGTTTTAAAGTTGACCAAGAGTTTTTGAAAAAGTTTTTTGAATATAACAAGTCTGGTAAGTGTGTTTTTATTAAAACATTATTGAGTATAAAAATATTTTAAAATTTAGGTATGACTGAACTTCAGTTGTTTAACAAGTTGCTGGACGATTTTTCTGGAAAAGGTAAGTTTTTTTAAGTAGTAAATAGTACCATTTTTACCAAACATTTTTAACATTCGTTTATTTTAGGTTTAATCAGCATCACTCAAATAGTTGTTGGCCCTGGGCATCAACCTGAACATCGGACAACTATTGAGTTAATGCCACCAGAAAGAGCATCTTTTGTGGGAAACTCATCGCGCAAAATTGACTCTAAAAATAAAGCTGCAAAAGAACTGGTCGACTGGCTGAAAACACAAGATGTAATTGTGGAAGCATCTACTAAAAAATTACCTGGAGCAAATGACAAAAATCAAGGAAAACTTGTTGAGGATATTAAAATAACTGACATCTACACTGCATACAAGTCAAGTAATAATTTTTTTATTTTCATCAACAAAAAGTTTAACCTAGTTTGATGTTTTCAGTTTCTGCCGACTCAACTTCATCTAAAACAGAACTACTTGATAAACTTTTAGAGATTGGAAAGGAGTATCTCCGGCTAGAAACTATCAAGAAACCAAACGGATCAAGAGTGGTGCTAATAAATGAAAATCACACTTTTGTGGCATCGGATGGAATGAGCTCCAAACCAAAGGAGTTGATCGCTAAAATGCTATTTCCACTGCTAGCTCAAGGCAAACAGCAAAACGCAAAAAACACTACTAGTAGTGTCGATAAACTGGTCAAACTGTACAAAGCAGGTAAGTTTTTCTGCTCAAAGACTAAGCAATAATCTAATAAAACTGCCCATTCACAGCATCCCATCCACCGAAGGAGCCAGCTAACCTGATTCAAGCACTGAAAGACAAATCACCGCAGGACATCAAAATTCTGGTGCACACCTCTGGCCCATCGCATGAACCAATACACTACACCGAGGTGGTGCTCGTTGCGCCTGACATTCGCTTTAAGGCCGCCGCCAAAAACAAGTCTGAATCAAAGAACCTCGCCACCAAGGAGGCGGTCAACTACCTGGAAGCCATCAGTCTGGTGAAGCAGCCACTGGCCAGTGTGAAGACGCAGAAGTCCTTTAAGGGCGCCGATTCCGCTACTTCTGCTTCTGCCGCCGCCTCTGCCGCCAACAGGCGAAAGTCCACCGACGGCGAAAGTGGGCTCATCAGCCCGAAGACGGCGCAGTCGATTGTGGATGCCGTGCAGAAGCGGTGGAAGGAGGTGGCCGCCAGCCTGTCGGCGGACATTGTCGACTACGAGAGTCTGGCCGCCTTTGTCGCTGTCTCCTCGCGGGACCACAGCGCCCAGGTGCTGAGCATTGGCACGAATGGCAGCTGGGCACTGGCGGAGACGACAGCCACCACCGGGAAGGTGGTGCACGACTCACATGCGGTGGTCATCGCCCGCCGGGCGCTCCTTTGCCTGCTCTATGAAAACTTGCTGAAGCTACTGGAGAACCAGAACCGCGACAAGCCGGAGTTTGTTCTGCAAAAGTCCGGCAAAGCCTACCGCCTGAAGACGCACCTGAAGTTGTACCTGTACAGCAGCACGACGCCCGTCGGCTCGGCGACGCTGGTGGAGAAGGGGGAAGACTCGGATAAGCTGCACGCAAAACTCCTTGCCAGCGATGCCAAGTTTGAAGTGGTGCCCGTCAGCCACAAAGCTGTGGCTGAATCAGGAACCAAGGCCAAGTGCATGAGCATCAGCGACAAGATTGCCCAGTGGAATGTGGTCGGAGTGCAGGGCTCACTGCTCAGTGCCTTCGTTGAGCCCATCTACATTGACGGTCTGGTCCTCACCGATGACTGCCAGGTGGAGGCAGTTAAGCGGGCTCTCTATGAGCGAATTGACGAAAAGGCAATTGAGTCAAAACTTTCATCCACTGCGTTTCACCTAAACCGTCATCCAGTTGGCCTGTACAAGCCGTCAAACAATCATGAACAGCTAAACGGAAAATTGGTAAGTTTTTTAAAGTTGTTTGGTTTTTACATTATTTTAAACTAATGAACTGCTTCCTTTCGTTAACACTTGCAGTCCTCTTCCACTTCTACTTCTTGCAACTTCATCTCACACAACTGGTACAACTCGCTGACCAATCGCGGCCGCCGCATTGAAGTACTCAATTCTCAGCAGGGCACAGTGTACGACACTAATCGAGACTCCTCTCGCCTGTGCAAACTTAAGCTGGCCAAGCGGTACCAACAGTTGAGCACTGGCTCAGGTGTGCAGGGCAACCGGAAGCTGTCTGCCGTTCTCATTCCACCCAATGAGCCAGTGCCCGCAACGGCTGCGACTGCAGCTGAAGCGGGCACCTATCGGGCGCTGAAGAACAAATCGACGCATTTCAACAAGGCCAAGGCAGCTCTAATTGACTTGCTGGCAGAGTCAGGCCTGGGCAACTGGAACAAATTAGCCAATCAAGTAGACCTGTTTCATATTGACTAGGGACGAGCGCACAAACTGCTAAACCACCAATATTTTTCATATTTTTGCTATTTTTAATTTAACTTTTATCATTGTATCAAATATTTTTCTCAGGTTACTTTTCAACTGCACAACTATTTTATAATAAAACTTTTATTTACAATATATTTTATTGAAATAAAATTATTTTAAAAACCAAAATTTTAATTGTTTTTTAAAAAACTGTTGAGTTTTATTGCCACACGACGTCGCTATTGAGACCAGTTAAGTTTGAAATAAGTATTGCAATGTTTATTTTGAATATTATATAGTAAAGTTCGGATTCTGTTTGGTACGTCCCATCTTCTGATGTCTAAAAACTGGTAGCCACTGCACGGCACTTGAGCACATTTCACGCTACTAAGTTTAGTGTCTTTCTTTAGGCGTCTACAAAGCTGTTCATTTCAACACCCTTTGTAGCATAGCCAGCTTATGTAGAGCTTTCTCTCTGTTCCACTAAGCCACATGTGACTTAAATGGACACTCAAATGATGCCTTTCCAACGGAAAAGGCCAATGACTTTTCAGTTGGTTTTCAGATTGTGTCCAGTTTACATGATTGCTTTGTTTTCACTGCACTTGCACTTTTAAATTACATGATTTTTTAATTGCTAAAAATAGATAACAAAAATAATTTTTTGTTTTTATTTACAAAATTGTTAAATTTGTTAAACAATAACAGAAAATAATTTTAATAAAATGACTTCTCAAATTTTGACTCAAAATAGCTGTCAGCACATAGAACAAAATGTGCAAAATCTACAACATTTTTTGCCTGAAAAATCAAAACAATCACATTCAATTGAGAGCAATGTTCAACAAAAATATCAGGATCAAGCTTCACCAAGACAAAACAACGCAAACTCCTTTTTGGTTGCCTCTGTTGTTGAAAGTTCAACAACATTTCCACAAACAGAATCTCTGGATTTAAGGTTAGTATAAAGCATTTGTTAATGTTGTAACTCAATCTAAATGATTGGCAAACTAATTTAAACAATTTAAGCAACTTTTATATAAATTTTTTAATTTTTTGCTTTTTAAAATAATAGCTAACGGATTAATTTAAAGTATTAAAAACAATACTTGCATTGAACAAACAACAAATTACAGCAAAAATCAGTCAAATAACATTTAAAAAACCTCGGCATCATTTTAACATTTTAATTTTTTGTTCATTAAAGTTAAAATTTTATTGTAGTTGTTCTAGACTTTATTTTTTTTAGTTCTCTAATCTTGAGTTTGGATTACTATCGATTTTTTTGTCAAACATTGAAAACAATTCCAGTAGCGTAATATATTCTTTTCGCTTGGCTGATTTTTTCAGTCTTTTCTATTTTTATTGTTTTAGTTTTATCCTCCTTCTTTAAATCATGTTCACGCAAAAAAATCAAAATGGGTTTGTTGCCTACCACAAACCTGGGGTTGGTTTTAAGGCGGTTAAAAGGGAAAAGATAAAGCAAATTAAATATAAAACTAAAACAATTGTTTTAATTTATAGTGTGACAAACAAAAAACACTAGTACAAAACTATAATTAATGCGGCCTTTTGCAATTAAACATCATAGTTTTGTATCTAAAACATAGAGTATTTTTTAAATATACATGTTTTTTTATTAAATTATAAATTGAATAAAAAAACAAATTTTTAAACTTGCTAATCAAAAAAATTTAGGTATTTATANATTAAACATCATAGTTTTGTATCTAAAACATAGAGTATTTTTTAAATATACATGTTTTTTTATTAAATTATAAATTAAATAAAAAAACAAATTTTTGAACTTGTTAATCAAAAAAATTTAGGTATTTATCATTTTTTTAGGGATAGGAGGATCATATAATTAATTTTATAAGTTTTTACAACAACTTTTGTTTTAAAATAAACTAAACAGTTTTTTAAATTTATACTTTAAATATATTTTTAAATTGTTTAAAACATCATTTAGTTAATTTCATTAAACTCTAGCAATTATTCAAAAAACAGAATTTTTTTAATGTTTTGAAACGTTTAATCATATAACTTTGACAATTTGTTTTATTAAGTAAGCATTGACAAATATATTTACATGCAAATGACTATTGTGATCACGCAACAAAATACAATTGTTTTTAAAAATATTTGAATTATTTTTTTGCTTGAGTGACAAAATAGTAACTAAAAAATATTTTTTTTAACCTGGTTAGTGTACTAAAAAACAAATTATAAAAAATATGTTTTGTTTCTGAATTGGTAAAAAACTTAAATATGTGTCATTTTTAAACATTTAAAATCACCGTGCATTACAAATCTATTATTTTTAATGGGTATTTAAAAATTAAATTAAATTTACCAAAATATTTTACAAAAAAAATTGCAACTTGCATTATTAAGAAAATTTTTATTGATGTATAATTTTATTTTTACAGTTTTTTGTTAAAAATGATAACAATTATCTGCCATTTTGGGTTTTTTATTTCTTAGTTTTAATAAAGTTATTAATATTTTTTTACTTTATTCCAATCATGATTTCTAAAAACATTTTTTATTTTTTATGTTTGTTAACAACTATTTTTTATGTTTTTTGTTTGCCCAAATAAAATTGTTGTAATGATTTTAAACTAAAATTCTAGTAAATAAATAGTTTTTATTAATTAATTTTAAAACATAACCAGATTGATAGCATTGATAGCAACTTTTTGTTATTAATTGTTATGCAAAAACAAACTAATCACAAAATAGTTTTTAACGCTATAAATTGTGTGATTTTTTATCAAGTATAATAAGTATATATATGTTAAAATTTATTAAAAAAACTAAATTTTGTTTATAACAAAAATATTTAAGTTGTTTTACTAAAAAACTACATTTACAAAATTTAAGCAACTGAAATGTTGGCTTTTCTGCAATTTTTTTATTAAATTTTAGTTTTAGTTAAATAAACGTTGTTTCGTACTACTAAATATATTGACTACAAAATAAAACTTAATTTGATGTAAAAAAATTTTCAATAAATAATTTTATCATTTATAATTTTTTATTTTTCAGGTCAACAAAATTTTGCTCAAAATCAAGTCTTCAAAACACTTCTCAACAAATTAAAAAATCTTTTATTGACACAAACCATTTTTTTAACTTTTTTACCACAATTGAACCATATTTTAAAATAAATCATTCAAATGTTTTTTTAAATACATCTTTTTTTAAATCTAAAATGAGTCATTTCCCAGTAATAATTTATAATTTTAACAATACTATTCAAGACCTTATAAACACTAAATACAATGAAAAATGTTTTTCAATAAGTTCGTGTAATTTTTTAAATGTTGAAGTGCCGCCAAAATTGTTTGGTTTTGATTACATTTTTAGTGACCAGTTGCATAAAAAAATTCAAACAATACCGTTTATTTTATTACACCAAACAATCAACAACTTAATACAAAGTTTAATTTCCAATTCTGTGATTTTAACAATTAATTATGATGAAACTGATAACAAAAATATAAAAGAAAATTCTTTAAACAAAAAAAATGAATTTAATTATATTATACATTATGGTTTAATGCTTCATTCAATTGCTTGGATATTTGATGTTATTGCAAAAGAACCTCAACTGTCAATAAAAATTTCAGTCAATAAAGTAACACACGAGACCGTTTTTGATTTGATTGATTCGGAAGCAAAAAATGAAGTTTATGACGAACCAGCAAAAGAAAATGGACATTTGTGCAATGATGCCAAACAAGCAACATTTTTTTTAAACCAAGCTTTTCAAAATTTAAATAAATTAAATGATTGTCAAACAAAAAACAATTTAGATTTTGTGATCGTTTTTACTTTACATCTTTACCATAACAAAACTGATAAACATAAACAAAATAAAGGTAAAATAAAAAAAATTAAAAAATAAACTTAAAAAAATTAACATTTTTTTCAGTTAAACGAAGTCATTCAAAAATTCACATTTTTGAAATTGTTTTAAAAGACAATATTAATTCAGAAAACAAAAATTGGCCATCAATTGACATTATGCTGTCCAACTTTTTTGTTTCATATGAAAAATCAAAAAATATTTTGTTATGGTAAGTAATTTATTTTATATTTATTAAAAAAATTGTAACAATTTTTTTGTTTTTAAGCAAATCAAAAATAATTAAAGCATTGGTTTATGTTTTAAATACTAAAAGTTATTTTGAAACTAATCAAATCAAGAAAAACACTGAAATGTTGTGCAAAAACTCATCGTTATTTGTGTTTGCAAATCTAAATCAATTTACAAACAATGTTAAAAAAAATACTCAAATTCTTTTGCGTACGTGTCAATTAGTAGAAACTATAAAACATGCAACTTTTTTAAGTAATTTAAGCAGCTTTGATGATCAGTTGCTGACAAATTGTCAACCCAAAAATATTAAACAACTAAAACAAAAAAATTGCTTAAAAAATTCGTGTTTTTGTCAAAGTAACGCAAACAAAAAAATATTATTAAAATCAAAAAGTAAGTTTTAAAAACAAAAAATATTTTGCTAATTGAATTTATTTTAAAAAACGCAAATTTTTTAGGAAAAAGAATTGTAAACAACAGTGCAATAGCTTTGTTTTCAGAACATTCTTATGGCACAGTTTCTAATTTGACTCAAAATCATCAAATCAGACCAAACGACAATTCAACAACTAATCAATTACAAGAAAATGAAAAAGTAAAAACTAACAAAATTATTTCATCTGTAAAAAAAGAAAACATTTTAGAAGAATCCTCTAACATTTTAACTGATGAAATGATGCCATTTAGCAGCCAAAATTGCAAACTCTTAGAAATAAATGAGTTCAATAATCCTTCAGTAAAACAACGCCGTTTTTCTCAACACAGCAAAAATAAAAATCGTCCTAATTCAATTGATTCAACTTACACAATTTCTACTCATACTAAAGCTCGCCTTAAATGGTGGTCAGAGAAAAAACGACATCGATCATCTGCTCTGTCAGCGAGTAATCGAAAAAATTCT